AATTAGCCGTTAGCAATAATAAGGAATGCAGCTTGAAGTGCATACCGAACGCAGGGTTGATAATGGTAGATTTCAGGTGGTCTTAAGTAACTGAACTAATAATCTCGGCATGCGATTTTATAAATCTCTCCTTTCATAAAAATAAAATCATTGTGACGATGCCAACTAAGCCAAACTTGATTAAGGGATGAGGGATCAAATTTAACTAAATCTAAATGATACTAGAAATGGGCATTTGAAAATCTGCAGCTCGCGTACTAAAATAAGTGAAGATGCATAAAAAAGGAAAGGGATCAATTATAAAAGTCATTTTCAGAGTCTGCGAAGCTGCTAGCAAAAGTTTGTGTCTGTCGGAAGGCATCGGCGATGATCTGATGTGTAGAAAGCCCTAATGTATTGCTTTCCATTTCTTGCTCTTCTTCATTCCTTGAATTCGATTCCTCATCGCCATTACTTGCACATCGGCTCGCCTTATCCGGAACGGTAGGCACGTTTTCAGTATCACCAAGTGAACTTGTTCCTGCCAGGCTCTGAGTAGCAGCAAAGAGCATTAGGCCCCGTTGCGCCTCACCCAGTAGAGAAGGCAACGAAGCTACAAGAGTTGAGCTCAGCGTTGCGCCAAATTTTCCAGCGCCAGGTTCTGCCTCACGGTAGGGTGAATGGTCTGGGTCAACATCTCTTTGATCCCTACAGGTGACAGCGGCCTTTGCCTCCACCTCGGAAATTTCCCCATCCTGTTCAAGTTGACTATTGTCCTGATCGTCAGGTTCCTCAGAGCTGTGTAATTCAAAAAAGTCTTCACTGTAAGAGGCGGCTGGTTCATTCTGAGAAGCTGATTCAAGGTTCAGCTCATTTTGATCCGTAAAGAGCTCACCAATCTGGTCGGGTACAACAGCTGAGTGGCTCGCCTGCTCCAAGCGGAGAGGAAGCAGAACTGAATAAATTTGAAGATAAATAATAGGAAAAGAAAAAGGAGATGATATTTTTGAGAGACCTAAATTTCCAGAAAGCCTTGAATGCAGATTAAAACAGTATTTGGGCTTAGAAGTAAAGCCAGGTGGACACATTTTTGTAGGTTGCTCAGCTTGAGCC